CAAACGCTTGAACACCTTTGCGCGGGTCCGTCGGTTTCCGGATGGAATCCATCCGGTCCGTGGTGGCATGGCTCCGTCAGGGGGATCTGCTGGCCTCCATCGATATCCGGGATGCATACCTTCATGTACCCATTTGCGAGTCTCATCAGTGATATCTTCTCCATAGGAGGAGGATACAGCGTGCAGAGCTCCTCCGACTTGCAGGGTCAGACATCTGGGCCGGAACATATGCTGAGGGTCTTGAATTACTGAGGGTCCCTCTACCCCTTGCCTGGTGGTCTCCGGTCGGTGGGGTGTTTTTTTCTGCGGATCGCAGGGATGACTCTCCTGCATTGCCTTGTGAGGGTTGTGGGCTGCGCTCTGCGGACCCCTCTAGACCCCCTCTTTGTGCATCCTGTACGCCTGCTCTGCCAGTCACCCGTGCGTTCCATCGGTTGTGTCGGAGTTGGGGGGTGGGTGGTACCGCATTGTCCCTGGTATATTTTTCCTCCTGCCATGGATGGGTTTGTGAGCGCGCCTTGACGCAGCGCCCACCTAGGAAGCCTTGTCAGGGGAGTCCGATGAGGAGGGGGAACTCTCCTCATCCTGATCCGGGTCCTCATCCGACCAGTGAGGATGAGGACCAGTGAGGCTGCGTCTACGCGTCTACGCTCCTGGTCCAGGAACGTGTGACGGTTTCAGCGCTGGTCCGCGCTGTCAGGGAGACCCTTAGAATTGAGGATGTTGCCAGCACTTCCACGTGCAGTTTGGGACGCATAAGAGCAGGCATTCCGCCAAGGTGTTTCCTTACATCTCCTTTTTTGATGAATTCATTTATAAGGAGTGGAAACGGCCTTCCAAGTCCTTTGCGGTTCCGAAGCGGTTCTCCGTTCGCTACCCCTTCAAGGAGGACTTTGTGTCTGAGTGGTCTTCCCCACCGCTGGTGGACCCGCCGGTCTCTCGTTTGAACAAAGCCACGGTTATTCCGGTGGAGGATTCTCCGTCCTTTAAGGATCCTTCGATAGGAAGGCTGAGGCGCTTTTGCGGTCCCTGTACTCTGTCTCGGGCGCTCTCATGCGTCCGGTCTTGGCTTCGGCCTTGGTCTCTCAGACTCTGAGTGGGCTAAAATGTTACATCAGGGTCTTGCGGAGGAGAACATCTCCCCCGCCTTTGTGGGTATCCAGGGTGTCGGTGTCAGCGGTGACACTTCGCCGTTTGCTCTGGCTTAAGTGCTGGTCGGCGGCCCAGGCTTCCAAGAAGGCTCTTCAAGAGTTGCCCTTTACTGGGGACCATCTGTTTGGTTCCACCTTGGATGAGATCATTAAGGATGGGCAGCCTCGGCCTACCTTCTCCGCTCACAAGAGGCGTGTTCGCCCCGCCCTCCGACAAGGGCGGTAAGTTTAACAAATTCTCCTCTTCCCAATCCTCCAAGCGTCCGTGGCAGCCCAAGTCTGCCAAGCCCGCTGCCAAGCCCCAGTCCGCATGAAGGTCGGGCTCCGGGTCCCAGGGTAAGGGGCCGCCTTCGGCTCTTCGGGATTTTTGGCTGGCCCACGTCTCCGACTCTTGGGTCCGGGAGCTGGTTTCTTCGGGCTACAAGATCCAAGTTTCTGTCCAGTCCGGGCAACAGTTTCTTCCCGTCCAACACGCGGCTGTCCCCTTCGGGGTTGGCGGATCTCCATCGCGCAGTGGCGGACCTTTGGTCCCAGGGGGTGATTGTGCCTGTTCCCTCCGCGGAAAGATTCCAAGGGTTTTATTCAAACCTGTTTACTGTGCCCAAGAAAGAGGGGGTGTGGCCCATCCTGGACCTCAAACGCTTGAACACCTTTGCGCGGGTCCGTCGGTTTCCGGATGGAATCCATCCGGTCCGTGGTGGCATGGCTCCGTCAGGGGGATCTGCTGGCCTCCATCGATATCCGGGATGCATACCTTCATGTACCCATTTGCGAGTCTCATCAGTGATATCTTCGTTTTGCGGTGGGGGAGGACCACTTTCGGTTTGTGGCGCTGCCCTTCGCGCTGACGTCGGCCCCACGTGTGTTCACCAAGGTGCTAGCCCCGATTCTGGCGCTGTTGCGTTGTCGGGGGGTTTCGATCGTGGGGTACCTGGACGATCTGCTCCTACGGGCAGAGTCGCATTCTTCCATGGTGACACCTCTGGGGGTCACGGTGCGGTCCTTGGAGGAGTTTGGGTGGCTTCTGAGCCTGCGAAAATCTTGCCTGGTGCCTTCACCACGCCTGGAGTATCTGGGTTTGGTTCTGGACACTGTCGCGGCCCGGGTCTTTCTTCCCCGGGACAAGCTCCTGAAGCTCTGTTCCAAGGTTCAGCTTCTGCGGACTCGCCAGTGGTCGCTCATTCGGGTTTACATGCAGGTCCTGGGTCTGATGGGGGGCCTCCTTCCAGGACCCTGCAGAGGAACATCCTGGTACAGTGGGACAAGTCCCCCCTGTCATTGGACAGGGAGATTCGGATCTCTCGGGTGGCGAGAGCCTCACTGCGGTGGTGGCTTCGATCTCCGGTCTTGGTGCGGCGGAAGTCTTTTCTCCCGGTGCATTGGACGGTGGTCACCACGGACGCCAGCCGCTGGGGTGGGGTCTTGGGCTCCTTGACCGTGCAGGGTCGTTGGTCGCCTGGAGAGTCCCGTCTGTTGATAAATGTGTTGGAATTTCGGGCGTTTCGCCTCTCTCTCTCTCTCCTTCATTGGTGACGTCCCTACCATTCAGGATCTACGATCTGTTGCCTGCGTCCTTCAATGAACGGGAGAGAAAATAGGATTTTTGTACTCACCGTAAAATCCCTTTCTCTCCGTTCATTGAAGGACACAGGCCCCGCCCTCTTTATGGGGTGTACACTCCTAACTGCTTGTTACTAAAACTGGAGACTTGTCAGCAGGTGGGGGTTTGGCCACCGGCAGGGGCCGCCCCTAGGCTGTAATTGGTCTTTAGTTTTGTGCCTAGCGTCCTTCTCCTGCAGGTGGCGATATTACCCTACCATTCAGGATCTACGATCTGTTGCCTGTGTCCTTCAATGAACGGAGAGAAAAGGATTTTATGGGGAGTACAAAAATTCTATTTTTATTGTGTTTTGGGGCATTTAAATACATTTTTCACTACCTTTTGGGGTTTGATAAGGAGCTGCACTAATATCGTGCACCATAAAAATTTGCAACTGCCACCATTTTATTCTATAGTGTATTGGCTTTTAGAATATATATAATGTTTGGGGGTTTAAAGTCATTTTCAGGCCTAAAATGTGGAATATGACATGGGTGCAAAAAATGAAAAAAAAAAAAAGGCTTCAGTCATGAAGGTGTTACCAGCCAGACCAAAGTGGGGTTAAAAAGACATTAAACGCATTTGGGGCCCCTGGCTCTCTTCCTCTAATACAACTGTATATTTTATTTAAATGACCTCACTGCTTTGTGTTGTACTGGAGCTCCTGACATCCCTCACATTCCCTGAAATGTACCGCAGCCAATTAATATGCCTAATAATCCTTTTGTACTGAATCTGTATTTTACCTGTAGCCCATATCCTCTGCACTGGAGTTTGTAAGCATGCCATGTATGTTACATGACAACTGTGCGACAATTGTCTCTGGGTTATGTTAACCCGGTTGTCTGGATTTTTATTGTTTTCTTATTTCTTTTTTGTTTGTGTATAAGTTGTATAACAATTGATAACACCAATAAAAAGCATCTTTAAAAAAAAGACATTAAAAAAAACCAACACTAACCATTAATTATATTTTAGTATTTCCACAATTCTGTATCCGTAATAAATTGCTTTAGTGGATAGCTATAATGACGTTTAGCTTTATTCGAAATACTAAGTTTATCTGTGTGCTCTCAAATGTATTTAGAATGTTTTATCCACGCAAGAAAGTTTAGAGAATTTTTTATGACAGTAAAATGAAACGTCCATTTCTATTAAATATATACCCGACTATGTGGCTAAGCCGAAACATCTGTCAGCAACACGGCTATCCACAAGGGCTTGAAAGGAAGGGGCACTACATTCTACCAGGCAGCACAGAATGAAAGAAAAGGGCATTATAGTCTGATCACCAGGGAATTTACATTTTGCACTGGTGATAATTGGAAAAAACTTGCTTACCAGGGAATGTAACAGCAGTGTCCTACACACAAGGTCGTTTTGTCTACATTTTGCTCCTTATTGTACAAATGTAATGAGAGTCTTTGCTGTGGCTACGGTAAGCATTTGCTTAGCAAGGTGAGGGCTGGTGATATTGAATATGTTAAGTATTAAAAGTAAATGGGACTAGGACTTGGCAATATGATTAAAATCCGTTCTTGTAGAAAATGTTGCTGGTATGTCAATGAAAGAATTTAACATTATCAGCTTTGGCTTGGGTACCTACTACCTTGCCCAGCTTTTGCCCCATAATGAACAGTAACAAACATCTCACTTTAGGGTGTACATTTGTAAACAGGCTGCTTTAGACCATTCAAGGGTCCTTTATTGTCAGGCATGTGTGCAGTGATCCATACCGGCTTATTTTCTTCACATCAGTAGGGCACTCGGATTGAGCACCTTCATATTCATTTTGTGCAGTAGATGCATATATTACAGATGTAGAGTACATGTATTAGGCATTTTATGGCTCCCAAGGTAAAAATTGCCTCATTAAACATTTTAAGCATTATGTAAATAAACCTCACTGTTCTTGGAACATGTTCATTTTTTTTTCTACATATTCATTCTTCAAAGGTAACATTTTCCAACTGTGATATCACTCCTCTCCAGATATTTGCAGTGACCTTGTTGCTTCCAAGATGAAAGGATATTGCATATTATACAGTACAATCATATACTGTATGTTAATGTCAATTGTCTGTTCCCTTTCTCTTTCCTTCTCTCCGCCCTACATGTTTTGCGTTCACATCTCCTCCATTCTGGTCCTTTCTCTGTCTTTTTAAAACAATCACAGAAACATATAATACATGTTTTAGTTTACGTAAACTCAAATTATACTTAAGTTTTTTGTTTTTTTTATATTGCAGGAGCCTTCTTCTTGTATGCAGGATTTGCTTCTCTTGGACTTCTATTCACTTATGGATGCTTACCAGAGACTAAAGGAAAGAAGCTGGAGGAAATTGAATCTCTGTTTGAAAATAGACTTTGTACATGTGGTGCATCTGATACTGATGAGGGGAGGTATATAGAATATATTCGCGTCAAGGGAAGTAATTATCATCTCTCTGACAATGATGCCTCTGATGTGGAATAATTTTCCTTGGCAGATGCATACTAATCATTTAACAGCCGTCTGGAGAAGGACAGCTATAGGTGACCTCACAGTCCTGCTTCTGGTCTGGTCCTCTGAAGAGCTCATAATTACCTTGCCAATGTTTTGTTTGTTACTGGTTAAAGAGTACATTTCACTTAACTGCAAAACAATTATGTGCTAAAAAAGATACGATTGGTCATATTTGGAAAATGGGTTTCTATTTCCCCATACATTTGTTCCCTACACGTTATTTTTAAAATCATGATTTAAGTTAATCACATTATTTAATTTTTTTTAAATGTGACTGTAGGACTCACAGCTACAATTGTAAGATTTCTCATCACCTTACAGAGGCTTACTTTTAAGTCTTCCTTTTGTTAACGCCATAGCTGGAGGTATTACTGTGACATGCACATGATCAAAATGTATAGGCAGAAAATATTGCACATTTTGATCTGGCTGTGATCAGCTAAGGTACAAATAATGTCTTGCAAAAACATTTGTATAGAATTTTGTTTTACGCATGTAATTTATATTTTTAAAAATATTTGTCAAATTACAGATCAGTTGTCCTTTAAAATAATCAGGTAAAGTTAATCATGCAGCAAAACCCTTAATACTAAGAAAAAAAAAATCTCTGTGCCAAAGTGTAACATAATTTTGTTGATCTTTTACACAAACAGCTACCATCACATTTACTGTGTCAACAGTATATTTTTTGTTTACTATGGTTGCTGTGTCAACGCCTTTTTCTGAAAAACAGATCAGACAGACTTTGTGAAACTAATTTAATAACTAATTAATTGTCATCAAAATCCAGATTGCACATTAGGAACTAGTGACACCAAGAGGCACAGTATGTTGGGGGTTGTTTCTAGTGCTTCCATAGATTGTAGGAAACATTACTGCCTTAAAGGGGAATGATGATCAACATTTCTTGTAGAAAACAAATAATCTCAACTCTTTAACGTATTTTAACTTAGGAAAAAGATTTATCGGTTTGTCACTACTTCCTTTCCTCAGAGCTGTTTCATTCTTCTTTTGAGAGGCATTTTTATATCAATTTTATATCCCTTATTTAATGTTTTATGAACTACTTCTAAGAGCTTATTGGCTCTGCAGACAGTATTTCTCTCCAAACCAAACATGGGTCAGTGATGTCTGAGGATATGCAAACAAAGCACCCATAGTGCTACAAGAGATGCTTATGGCCAAAAATCCTACAAACCAGATCGGCAGATAGTACTGTTGCTCAGTTTCCAGTAACACAGGAGACATTGTGTTTGTGCTCTGAAGAGGAGTATAGAAGGCAGTATAAATTGCTGTTGTGCTGATCAGTAGCTAGATAATTTAAAGAAATATAAAACCATAGAAAAATACCACGTATACGCTTATTTTTTTGCTGCTAAATAAGTGTGACCATTTCTCCTTAACGTGCAAGTCCACCAATTTTATTTTAGAATTCTGTCTTTAGTGCTATTCTGGGCTCTTAGAGATTTTCCCTTTTACTCAATGTACCCTGTTTTACTTGTAAAATCAATTTCTTGTAGAACATCATAGGACACAGGATGGTATTCTTAGACCACTGTTAGATTGACACCTGCAGAGATTGAACACTCCTCTCGTTCAGAGCAGGCCTCAGTTTTGTAGCAGGTAATATTAAAAGTGGATTACAAGAAAGAGAAGGGAGGAGCCTATGTCCAATGATGCACTCCAAGAAAAGGATCTTGCAGGATCTCACAGGATTATATTCTTAGGTCACTGGGATTATATTCTTAGGTCACTTAGGTCATCCAGAACTAGTGTAACCAAGGGGATGGGGGAGTTTACTAACAGAGAAATCAAGCCAGCGGGTCCACAACCCCACAGGGCAACAGAGATGGCTCATTAGAATCATGTAGAACCGTGAAGCTGAAGCCAGCATCATCTGAGGCCTGAATGGCCACATGGTAAAACTTAATGAAGTAGGAATGGAAGACCAGGATACATAGTGTGTCCAGATAGGTAAGGAGAAATCTTGCCTCTGGTCATAAGCCAGGCAAATAAGCACTTGAGGTCCCCAATGTAGGTGGGAACCTACCAGGACGATAAACAGCACTGCACTGATGTAGAGAAATAGCAGTTGAGACAGAAATTTCAACACCGCCATTCAGACAATTGAGGGAAATCTCTATAGGATATTACGGAGCAGGACAAAGAGAAGGTGGTACCAAATACTGGATAAGGTGAAGAAGGAAAACTGCTTTTAGGAAGGATCAGGTCCTGGCCTCAAAACAACCTTGGCCTTGTGAAGAACAAGAAAAGGTTCCTTACAGGTGAAGGCCACCATCTCAGAAACTTGCCCTGCTAAAGTGATGGTAATGAGAAGACAACCTTGCAAGTAAGGATAGACAGTGGAAAATTCTTGATGGTTTCAGGGGGTGGCTTAGAAAGACCGACAGAACCTAGATTAAGTTCCATGGAGTCACTAGGAAAAAAAGTGCAGAACAATGAGTGACCCCTAAACGAAGGCCTCCACAAAAGAGTGAAGGGCAAGCGGCCTTTGCAAGGGAACTGCTGAGGCCAAGATTGGACCCTTGATGACCCTCATTAATCCAGACCGGGTTGAAGAAAAACAGGATTTTCCCATGGAGAACATACTGAGATTGAATCCCCATCATGCACCAAGTGGCATACGTTAACAAGTGCAACAGACTTAATAAGAAGACGGTTACCTAACCTTTAGAGCATAGGGAAGACCGAATCTGGTTGGCCCCTCTGCCTTAGGACCTAGGCTTCATAAGCCAGGTCACTAAGTCAGTGACCAAGAAGCAGATTGAGAAATGTTTATCGCCTGAGGACACTAGCAAAAAACTGAGACTTAAGTATACTATATACGCATGCAGCAAATTCTGGTCTGTTTTTTAGGAACTTCGCATCGTGGGTGCCCCTGTCGGCACCCTTCCATCCGGCATCCCTCGATCAGCTGATTGAAGGAGCAGGTTGGAAAATTCTCAGCTGAATGGAGCTAACAGCCAATCAGTTGGCCTCTGTCAGAATAGTATAGAAACAGCGGGGGATCCTCAATCGATGCTTTTGAGCGTTGATGGAGGAATCTGTTCTGAATTTTTGTGCAGCCCGCAGGCTTTGCACATTTTTTTTTTTCTTAAACGTAACCACAGAACTCCACCCAGTTTTTTTTTTTGTCCAGAGGAATGGTATAGATAGAAAGAAATAGTATAATGTTTGAATTTCTATAGTTCTGTATGTGCAGATCTATCCCTTTCTCCATACCAGCCATGTCAGTTTCTTCATGGCTTTAGGTTGATATAACACTTTAGGATGTTGCATGCCATCAATTTTATTCTATTTTTCAGTTATTGGAGATTCTACACTCATGTCTAAAATAACATGGCAAGTCCAAAGGCTAAAGCGAGCCATACACTATACAATCTGATTGTGCCGTATCCTTTTAGACATACCACCAACTATGTAGTGCAAGGGCCAGCCTTAATTAATACAAATTGAATGGAATGTGTAGATGTGTCCTTGTATTATATAGCTTTGGTAAATCTAAAGAAAATTGTAAGTGTTTGGGTGAAGTTCTACATTAAATTAAATTTGTTCATTTTAGTTTAGGAGAATTATGGGATTAATACAAAAAACAAAACCTACTGGAATTTATGCTGCAGCATCCTTGTGACACTGTAGCTGTCCCGTGCTGGCTCTAAAACCAAGAGCTGACATTACTTCATTGCCGATCAGTCAGCTCTTGGTCTGCTCAAAGCAGAGAACAATGGCTGTCAGTCACTGAACCCCGCTCTCTGCTCCTCCAGCAGTCATTAGAGCAAGCAATAGCCCGCTATCAGCGGACTTTGGGTCATGGGTACATTGATAAATGTACTCCTTTGACCCAGCAGAGAATAGCCAAAAAAAATGGTTTGGCCATACTTCTCATTTACCTGTCTGTCTTACTCTAAATACCAACATTAACAAAGGCTAATTCAGCTGCTTTGATGTCAGATAATGGACAACTTAAAATCTATTACATGATGCATTTCCTAAATATATTCACAGGTGCTGTATTAATACATTGAGTGTCAAAAGTTTCTTTAAAACCTTGCATAATAAATCAAAGATAGAATCTGAGTATAGAAGGAACAACTGTGTATAAAAAAATGTACCACAGATAACTGTACTGAAAATATGTTGCCAAGAGGCAGGACTATGTGGATTAGATTGGTTTGAAAGCAAGCCAAGTTCCGTCATCCCAGATGTTACAAGGTTTCTAGCTGCTATAACTGAAACACAAATATTGTTATTAAAAATTTGCCAATTAACTAGTTAATAAACAACCAAAAGATACAATTGTGCAAATAAAAATAACGTGTGAATCCCCCAGGGGACCCCATGCATGTAACACTCAGTCCCATTTTGATCTGATATATTTCAGAATAAAAGCACATTGTTATCACTGTCAGAGCTGGCTTTAGCTCCACCCAGGACTGAAGCGTAAAATATTGGCATTCCGATGGGGGAGATACAGCCAGCACTTGGGGCCCCATCCTCTCTCCCCTGCGTTCAGAGTAATGGGACTATGATCAGGTAATTCAGAACAGTAGGATTCATCTGGATTACCGGATTACAGCCCCACCGGAGTGCTGTCTACTCTCTGTTCCATGTCCTCTCCCTTTCATTCCTCCCTTTATCAGTGTCTCTCCTTCTCCCCAGAAGCTTCACTCATTTAGCACAGCAGGAGGATGGGAGCCTGTCTGCAAGAGGTGCCTGTGTACATGATTCCCCCTACTCATGCTGCTGTTCTCCAAATCTGTCTGGCTCCCCAGCAGCTTCATGCACTACCAATAACCGTCTTCTTTTTTCACTGGAAGCCACAGCAGTTACATGAATGAATGAGCAGTGCTGTGAGTAACTACATGTCTCTGCTGCTCATTCACTTTTGTTTTTTTTTGCGAGCAGGGTGAATTTTATGAACACCGGAGCCTTTCGCTTATCCCCTTACTCTGTTGTGGTGAGTGAGTGGCACCTGCTGGCAGAGACGAGCACTGTCAAATACACTATCCATCTTCTTCCTAGCAGCCTGGTAGGTTAGCCATGGGGGAAGGGGCAGGGTGTCAAGCTGTCCAACCATGCTGCACAGCA